AATTTTTAGGTGGAAATGTTGATCAAGCAACAGAATGGAATTTACGTAAATGTTCTGCAGCTGCACTTGATGTTCTTTCAAATGTATTTCGTGAAAATATTTTACCAATATTATTACCTATATTACGTGAAATGTTATTTCATACAAATTGGCAAATAAAAGAAAGTGGTATACTTGTATTAGGTGCTATTGCTGAAGGTTGTTCATATGGTTTAGCACCACATTTACCTGATCTGGTTGATTATTTAATCAAATGTCTCAATGATAAAAAACCTTTAGTACGTTCAATAACATGTTGGACATTATCAAGATATTCATCATGGATTGTACATAATGAAGTACAACAAAATAGATTTCTTGTTCCATTAATGTCGGAATTATTGAAAAAAATTTTAGATGCAAACAAAAAAGTAAACAACAACAAAAAAAAAAAGCAGATAGCCTTTAATTTTCTTATTTTATTTAAATATTTTAGGTACAAGAAGCAGCTTGTAGTGCATTTGCAACATTAGAAGAAGAAGCATGTATACAAATGGTACCATATTTAAAACAAATTCTTGAAACATTAGTACATGCTTTTCGTAAATATCAAGCAAAAAATTTATTAATACTTTATGATGCTATTGGAACATTAGCTGATAGTGTTGGTTCACATTTAAATCGTCCTGATTATATACAATTATTAATGCCACCATTAATTGAACGATGGAATTTATTACGAAATGATGATAAAGATTTATTTCCATTACTTGAATGTCTTTCATCAATTGCAACAGCATTACAAACAGGATTTTTACCTTATTGTGAACCAGTTTTTGGTCGATGTATTTTACTTGTACAACAAACATTAGAAGCTAGTGGACCAGATACACCACCAGACAAAGATTTTATGATTGTTGCACTTGATTTACTTTCTGGTTTAACTGAAGGTTTAGGTAAATAAAATTTTTCTTTTAAAATACTAGTTTCATTAGATAGAATAGATAATCAAAAAAAAACAAAATAACAAGCAAAATTTTTACGACTTTATACTCTTATATATTTCATAAGATATTTATATTTCTTTAAATTAAGTTAGTTATGATTTTTCTGATGAAATATAATATGAATGTAGAAAATTATTTCAAAAGAAAGTAAGAGTAAAAATTCTGAAAAGAAAAACAAACTAATAAAGACAACTATAAACTTTTGACTACAGAATAGAATATATATATATATGTATGCTTGTAAAGAAAGAATTCTTTTATCTAATGATATATGTATTCTTAGGCTCTACTGTAGACTGTTGATATGTCTGTAGTTGACGTCACTTGTCTACACGTTAATGGTATATAGAAAAACTTGATAATGTATATACTATTAGATAAAGAAAGTCATTCTCAAGAAGCCAGTAGTGTCAAACTTGAAAGTTGAATTCAACTATTCAATAATTAAATTCGAGTAAACGATTAAATTAGCTTATTCTAGACATAAGAGTATATGTCAAACATATCTTATGTGATTTGCTGAATGTAAGTTACATTGAACTTTGTTATATTTGAATAGAATGTGGGATGTGGATGAGGTCGAAAGACTATCACACACTCACACCCTAATTATTATGAATTATGCTATGAAAAATATTAAAAAAAAAACAGATGTAGCTTTTTTTATACTATGCTAGTCAAAGGGTTAAAGAAATAATTGATAAATTAAGTAGGCAAATAACTAATTAGTTGTAAATATTGATCATGATCTTGATTTGATTTTGTAAGAAAACTTTCTTTTCATCATCTGCATTAAATAAAACACGATATTTACTTAAAAATCAAACTTTGACATAAGTTTATAAATTTACAAACTTAAAACTATTTCCTACGTAGCAAATATTAGGATGAGTTTCTAATAATTCTATATTTTTTTCTGGTAAAAAACGTGTTTGTATTGATATCCAAAAACAACTTTTATATATTTTTCACTGTCAAAAATGACCACAGTTGAATATTATAATGACTATCAGATTTCATCAGAAAACTTCATACTTTCACTGAGTTTTCGAAAAAAAAAACACTAATCGATTTTGCTACTGAATGCTACAAAGATTTTAATTACATTTGGATATGTTAAACATCACATATATTATCAAATCAGTTACATCTTAGAAAAGTTCGAATGAATAATTCTAAACTATTGTCAGAAAAAAAAGAATCTAGATATATATAATTGAAAATATTACGACTTGTCTTAAGAAATAATTGAACTGTTCAGTAATTTCTATCGCTATTTGAACAGTAAAATAATTCTATGAAATAAAATCTTCACGAAAGTCAAGAAAGATGAAGTTTAAATCTCTACAAATCGATGCAAATTGTTCTTTACAATCCTAAAATATTGCCCCGAAAACATTCAAAAGCAGAAGAAGAAAGATAACCATTGCTAACTCCTATTGGTTACGATTTTCTGGAGTTTAGCAGCAATTTACACGAGAATTTTGACACTATTGTGCGATTTCCGTAAGAGTCTCCACAATAAAAAAAAGACATTGTCGAAACTCCTATATAACAATGAGCCGTAGTGGAATTAGACACGAAGTCAACTCGAACATCTATTCATTAATTCAAATTGTTTATTTCCTTTAAAAAAAATGATGACACATGTCATATATTCATATATATATATGATTTTAGGTGCTCATATTGATTCTCTTGTTGAACGATCAAATCTTTTATCATTACTTGAACGTTGTGCACAAGATTCAATGGCTGAAGTTCGTCAAAGTTCATTTGCATTATTAGGTGATTTAACAAAAGCATGTTTTCGTCATGTTCGTAAACATTTAAATGTATTTTTACCATTATTAACACAAAATCTTGATCCACATCATGTTAGTGTATGTAATAATGCCATATGGGCTATTGGTGAAATAGCAATACAAATTGGTTCTGAAATTCAACCATTTGTTTCAATTATTCTTGAATCATTAATATTAATTATTAATCGAAATAATACACCAAAAACTTTATTAGAAAATACAGCTATAACAATAGGACGTTTAGGTCTTGTTTGTCCAAATGATGTATCATTACAATTACAACGTTTTATACGTCCATGGTGTGTTGCATTACGTAATATACGTGATAATGATGAAAAAGATTCAGCATTTCGTGGTATTTGTAATATGATTATATTAAATCCATTAGCTGTTACAAATGAATTTATATATGTATGTGATGCAATAGCATCATGGGAAAAACCACCTATTGAATTACATGCAAAATTTCGAGATATATTACAAACATTTAAACAAGAATTTGGTAATGAACAATGGAAACAATTAACAGATCGATTTCCTTTACCACTTAAACAACGTCTTCAAATTCATTATGGTGTTTGATCTATCCTATTTTGTTCTTTTTCTTTTTTTCTTTGTCTGTTCGACGACGAGACGATATTCTCTATATTAAAATTAAAAAAAAACAGTTTTTTTTTTTTTCTTCTTTCTGTTCGTTTTTTTTTCGTTTTGACACATTTATATCGTCCTAAAAATAGAATAAAAGTCGTCTTAAAAAAAAAAAAAAAGAAATAATAAAAGATTTTTTTTTTTCGTAATTTTTTATTTTCAGATTAAGTTTTTCATATTTTAATGTAGAGATAAATAGAATAATTTTGGTTTTGTATGTCAGATATTTTTGTTTTATTTAAAAAAAAAAATATTCTTTTTTTTTTTCGTTTCAGATCGATCAGTGTCTCTTGTCTTTGTTGTTTTTTTACGTACGAATCATTAAAAATATATTCAAAATGAAAAAAAAAAATGATTAAAGAAAATTTTTTGCAAATATTTCGATTGTTTGGTATTTTTCTCTGAATATTGAATTGTTATACGAAATAAATATGAAGTTTTGACATTCACCAATATTAAAATTTTTGTCTTTTTAAATGAAAAGTTTTCACTCTTGACTACAGTGACCTCTCCTCCATTATAGACCTTAGCAATCCTCGCCTACATGACAGCTTTTAGCAATAGAGGGTGATCATCATCGGAATCTTTCCACAAAAATCTAGAATATTCCAAAGCTTTCATCGACATTTCAATGGCTTGAGTGTATTTGTGAATGTTTTTAATAATGCAGTTTTTGATTTTTGCGTAGATAAAAATTTATATTCAAAATGTCAACGATAACATATAGTGATGTACAGATTTGCCACGACTCTGATTTAATTAATGTAAAAGGCATGAATGATCAAGCTACACCTGTAAAACGTAATCAATATTAGTTTTTTAAACCTATCGATATGTATTTATATATATAATAGTGCATTCACATTTATTGTTGTGCATATAATGGATATTTACGATCATCTTATTTTGCATGTAATATAGTGTTTATGATGATAAAAATAGTAAGTTAGGGTAAACAAAATACGAGGAAGAAAAGTTACGGGTGAATAGCGACGAAATCAATAAAGTACAGAGCGTCTGATCCTAACAAACTTTGGTTTTCGGACTTGTACCATATGACATCGAGAAAAGAAATGTCATGTTTTCTTTGAACAAATTTTAATAAAGTCTATTGAATGCTTAACATAATATTTATCATCGCTGTCATGATTTAACAACTTTTGCAAATAAGAAAAAAAGAACCAATAATGCAAATGTGTTCAAAAACTGTTCGAGCATTTTTATATATACTTTATTTCTTTTCTTCTCTTAATGATAAAACTTGCACATGTATTTCTGTCGTTGCCTGCGTTTTTTTTTTCGTATTTGTTTGTATAGTTATGAATATGTAAATGTCATACACTTTCTATTACGCATACATACTTTTGCTCGTTCTTCTCTCACTTTTTTTTCTACGTATTGCACTTAGCAAATTTTTCTCTGCACACGTTCGAACTTCTCTTGGCTATTCGTCACAGTCGACCACACTGTAAATAAAAGAAATTTAATAAGTATGCTTTTTTTTTTTCACATCTATTTTAAAACTGATCAATTGAGTTTCAGATAGAGAACTGACTTGTTCATGGATTTAATGATTGTTTCGGTATGGACTCTTGTATTTTCTGTGATTGTTTTATTTCTGGGTGCATTAAATTATTTTCTTGGACGATCTAATTCGAATGTAACGACATCTCAAAAACCATCTTCATCTAATACTACGAATCAACAGCAACAACAACAACAACAACAGCAACAGTCCAATCGTACTAATAATAATCGTCGGAAACATGCACGAAATGCAAATAAAAAACGGCAAAAAGCAGCAGCAGCAGCGGCAACAAATGAAAATTTAAATAGTAATAATGATAATGAAGATAAACAAGAGAAAAAATCAACTATATCTAAAACAAAGATTGAAGTAGAAGAAGAAGAATCATTACCAGATTATTCTATACAACAAACTACTGAAGAACAAGATGAAGATGAAGAATTCAAAGACCCGATTATAACTGAGGATTTATTAATCTCTTCTTATTCAACACCTATTCAAGAAGAAAAAGAACCAATTTTACCAGTTAAACAACACAACAAAGATAAAAATAATCATATTAATAGTAAAACACAAAGTCCAATCTCTTCAAATACAAAAAATAATTCTTCTATACCATCAAAACAAGAATCTATTGTCTTATCAAAACCTCAAGCAAATGTAGCACCTGTTAAACAAACTTTTCCATTAACTAGTACAACGAATATTGAATCTACTCACATTCCACAAGTTACAAAGTCTAAGTCAAATGAAATTTTATCATCATCAACAAATAACATCTATTCATATAGTGAAAATAATTCTGCATCATCAAAATTTCCAAAACAATCACAAGATAATGAAGCATTTATTACACAAAAATATCGTAGAAAAAAAGGAACAACAAAAACATCTATACAACTTGATTCATCTACAAAATCGAATGATGTTGTACCATTAGCATCAAAACAACATATCAATAACAATACTCATTTCGATTTATCTTTACAATCTCACCAACATGTATCATCAACCTATGATGGATATTCATCAGAATCAGACATTTTATCAGGTAGAACTTTTCTTGAACAACAAAAAATAGCTGTTAGAACAATTCTTGCATGATTAAAATATGAAACACGGTTTAGTTGCTGTTGCTAATCACACAGAGATTATTTTATTCTATTTATTTTCGAAAACATTTTTTTCATCATTCTTTTATTTTATCGTTTCAAAATGCAAACAGTATTGCAGTTTGAATATTATAACGATACGTTATTGATATATGATATTCGATCGTATGTAAATAACATTTCATCACAACTTGTGATGTGGAAAATGAAGGCAATGTTGATAAGGCATCTGTCATGGTTCATTATAATATTTCAATAAGGTCCGTTGCGGTCTGTGACGTAGGGAAAAGGAACGTTGCTAAGGTGTCTATTACAATCTGTGACGTTTCTATCATAATATCTATCATGGCTTATGAGATCATAATGGGTGCACATTTCGTATTTTGTGATCTTCAACACTTCTTTTAAATCTTATGTCACAGAATCATTATTGATAAAATTCTTTTACTTCTATAGGACCACCATCAACAGTACTGACGCATAATAATCATAATTCTTTATCATCAACATCAGCTGAATCTCAATATTCATTAAATGAACATGGCATAAGACGTTCATTATCACCATCAAATATTTTATTAGATAAATTAATTTCAATATTTGATAATGTTTCGTTTTCATCTGATGAACTTGAATTAATTCTAAAAAAATTAACAACTAAACAATTATTAAATAAACAAGATTGGGAACATGTATTATCAACAAAAACAAAAAATGATAAAACTATTGAACGTCTACTTGAAGAAACATTTCGTAGTCAAGCAAAACTTCTTTCTATTGAATTACAAATAGAAAGAGCTCATATACTTGAATTAACTAAAACTAATGTTGAAATGGATAATACAATAAAACATTTACAACAATCAAATCAAAATATGGCACCATATCAACAAACAATTTTATCATATCAAATGCAACTTAAACGATTAACAGATGAAAATACACATTTAGCTCATCAATTACATACATATGCAATGATGCCAGGCACAATTAATGAACTTAAACAACAACAACATGTTCTTGATGAACAATTAAGACAAATTAATTTAAGAAATAGTACTTTAGAAAAAGAAATAGCTGATGGAGAACGTGCTAGAAAACATGCAGCAGAAATATATAAAAAAGGTAAATATTTTCATTTTATCAATGACGTATTTATTATTTTTGTGTTTTTTTTTTTAAGCTGATGCTCAAAAACAAGAACGAATAGAACAAATGCTTAATGATTTACATAAATATAAAAAAATTGATAAAGACTTAAGTATATTTCAAAAGAAATACGATGAACTTAAAGAAAATTTAGATACGAAATTGAATGATGTAACTCAACAATATGATGAATTAGAAGAAACTAGTAAACAATTAAAAGAAAAACTTCAACAATACGAACCATTAAAAATAAAATATGATCAACTTATACAAAATGATACTGAAACATCAAATTTTGATCAACTTCAACAAGAATTAAATGAACTTAAAGCTAAAAATGAAGTATTAACACAACGTAATGTGAAAATAAGGGAACAATTGAACAAACAATTGCAAAACCAAGAACAAAGTCAAAAAAATCAATCATTAAAAAGTTAAAAAATCAAAATGAAAAAGAATTTTTTTTGTTTTTTTTTAATCAATGATAAAAATAAATGGATACATTTTGTGATTTATTTTCAGTCTGTTTTTTTTTTGAATCTCTATTTGTTTTCTTTTTCTTTCAATATACAATGATCTATTACCATTGATATTGTCTACATATGTATAATGACAAGTATTTAGAAAACATTAACATATGATTCCATTTTGTGTTTTATTTTAAAGATATCCAACAATTGTCTATCTGTTTTTTTATTTCTTTTTTTGTTTTGTTAATTTTAATAATTTTGTTACTGACTCTTTCTCATCAATTAAATAAATATGAATTTGAATTTTTTTTTTTTTTCTATCTTAAAATTCATTGTAGTTTTGTTTTGAATATAGATAATGTTTGTTACTAAGCTTTTATTGATTAGTGTATTAATTTATTGTTGTATAAATGTACAATGTGAAGTAATACAATTAACTTCACGCAATATTTCACAATATCTTCAAAATTATGTTACTTTTGTAAAATTTTATTCAAATTGGTAAAAAAAAAAAACTAGAAAATAACTTATGAGTATTTTTCATTTTATTTTCATGTTTTTTCTTCTATAGGTGTCCACATAGTAAAAAATTTGAACCAATATGGAAACGTTTTGCTGAAATGAAAAAGAATACAGATCTTCGTGTAGCTGAAGTAAGATTTTAGACATAGTTTTCCAATGAAGAAAATTTTCATTTTAAAAATGCAACACAAATCATAGATGTCTATCACAGTTGGAAATTTACAACTGATGTCATTAAGGTGACGGCAGTGTTGCCATGGATATCTCTGAAACAAATGACTGTTTTGTAAAAAAAAATAAGACTAATTGTTCGTAGAGTTTACTGAAGTTTTTAGACAGGAGATAAATCATTTTGTAGAGATAGACAATCTATTTACACATTAGTGATTAAATTGTGTTTAATATCAAGCCAAGATTTAAAAATTTTCAAAACTAAAATGATGCATTTTATGTACTATATTCTGTCCTGTATCTAGACGTCTGAAATTTTGAGCGATAGATGAATGCAGAGTCCATGAGGAAATAGCCAAAAGTGTAGGAAAATGATTGATTTCATGCTTTAGTTTTGAGTAAGATTTCATAAGACACCGTCGATATAAAAATGCTGATGCTATTCTTTTTATGTTTATCATGAATTAAGATTTCACATTATTCATAAAAAAATCAACGTATGGTATCGGATACACTCATTTTGAGCGTTTTTTCATATGATTTTTGTATCCATGTTCGAGAGATACTGTGTTAGGTAATTTCATTAATATCTAACAATCATGATGAACTTAGACTATGAAACCTTTTATACTATTTGTGGTCACAAATATTCATATATTTCAATATATGTGGAATTATTCTGGAATTTTGCACAAAATGCCTATGTTCAGTTTATCGAAACTTCTCTAGTCACAAGAGTCGAAAGATATTTTTTCTTAGATTCTCGTGAAATATGCATCAGATGATGTCGCATTGAACATTATTGACCAATATTTGATTATTTTTGCTGTTTTCGGATTAAATTTTCTCATTCAAACGATTCCACAAATCTTTGATAGACAGTATTGTAGTGTGATGAAGAAAAACAATTGATTAAGCCGATGCATAGAAATCATTTGAACGCTAATAGAAATATACAATGTTAGATATCATGATCCAGGAAAATCACAGATCTGAACTTTCTTAGATATATTCATATTTAAAATATAAAATTCAGAGATGAGAATAGTTTGGTTCAAACTTAGAAAAAAACTAGATCGGTCTGATTCGATTTGAAAAAAGTACAAAGCGTTTTCATATTTAATGAAGTCATATGGTGATCAATTGTCATTAATTGATAGTTTCATGATTATTAAGAAACTTATATTTCTCAGTTTTTATGTATTACTATTGACATGATAGTAACCTGATTTAAATCATATAGATTGATTGTTCCAAAGATGCTCTTGTATGTTCCGATCATGATATATACGGCTATCCAACGTAAGTTTAGTTATACAATAATTACATTTAATTCATTATTTTTCTATTAGACTGAAATTATTTGTGCGTGGAAGTGGTGCACGATATGAAGGACCACGCCAAATTGAATCACTTGATGCATTCTATCGAGAAAAACTAGCTGAAGATACTAATGTATGTTAAAATGATATATAATATGTATTTTTTTATTTTATTCTTTATTTAGTATGAAGATAATGTTGCAACTAAGAAAGCTATTATAGAATTAACAGCAGACAATTTTGCTCAAATGATATCAACAGATTTTTCATTCGTTATGTTTTTTGCTCCATGGTGTGGTCATTGTAAAGTTTTAATGCCTATTTTTCAAGAATTAGCTAAGCAAATGATTAATACCGATGGATTAATATTTGGAACGGTATTTTTGAATTTTTGAATTTTGTTTTCATTTATTTCGTGTTTTATTTATTAAGGTTGATTGTACAGTTCAAAATAGTCTTTGTTTGAAATATACTATTAAAGGTTATCCAACATTAATTTGGTTTGAAGATGGTGTTGATGTATGCTTACAAGAAAAAATTTCATAGATTTCATATTAATATCAAATGAATCTGTTTAATTCTTTTATTTTTTTAGAAAGATAGTTATATAGGAGCTCGAGAATTAAATATGATGCGAAATTATATTGAACAAAAAATGAAAGAAGCTAAACCAATAGCTACTGAAGCACCACCAATAATAGTTGAACATGAACAAGAACAAATGACTGAAGAATCTTCTGGAGTATATATTATAAAAATAAATAAAAGTAGAAAAATAAAACTTTTTAAAAATTTTCTTAGATAGATAATCTTCTTAATGCAAAAACATTTACACAAGGAATTAGTTTTGAAGGTTATGCATTCGTTAATTTTGGTGCACCATGGTGTTCACATTGTCAAAAATTAGCACCAATTTGGGGTCGACTAGCAGAAAAATTTTCTCAAAATAAAGATATACGTATTTTACGTGTTGATTGTACAGCAAGTGAATCATTATGTCGAGATTATGGAGTACGTTTTCTATATTCTTCTATTAATTAACTTATTATATATAAATATATAATTTTTTTTTAATTAGATACGTGCTTTTCCAACACTTATTTTATTTCGTTATGGAGAATCAAAAGTTGAATATAATGGTTCAAGAGATTTTGATTCATTGTATAATTTTCTTGTTAGTCAATTAGAATTTTTTGGTGATGATTATTTATTACAACAAGAAGATGAGATTAAAAATGAACTTTAAACTAATACGATTGTTATTGTTATTCCATTTTGTATTTATATAATAATATTGGTTTTTTTTTCTCATATGTTTTTTTTTAGTGTGATGATTTGTTTGTCTTACAGCTAAGTTCATCTATTGATAATAATAAAAATATTTAAAAAAAAGAAAGAAAAAAAATTTTTATTGTTTGTTTGTTTGTGAGAAATCGATCAGTCTTAGACTAATATCTAAATCTTATAATGATAAGAACAATTTATAATTCGTAGAATTTGACATTCAAGTTGTTGTTATTGATTTCTTTTGATTATTCCAATTGCAATGAATTTTGACAATAACAAATAAAGTTGGACGAACGAAAATATTTATCAGTACTTATATGTTTTTTTTTTAACAAACTAATAGAACAAAAATTATATATAGAATCTAAAGAATAATATAAATTGATGAAGAAATCTTTTCAATTGTCAAATCACTTTTCAATCGTGACAATTTCCATTTGATGAGTAATAGAAAAGTCTAGAATGGTTAGGTTTTCAAGTCTTTGTTCTTGAAATATCGAAGTTTTAATGAGTATCGAACTCTCTCCGCTCACGCGGAAAATCGAGTTTCGACTTCAAACTTTTCATGAGCAAAATACTTAATAAGATTAGTTAATTATGCAACTTTAAAATTTTTCTTTTATTTACTTTTTGGAGATATGAATGTATAAACATCATTTCAGTGGCGTAGCCAGAAATTTTTGAGTCATAGGCAATTCATCAGCCGAACTATTTTGAGTTACGGGCAGCTCAGGGCAACCGTTATGATTTCAAAAATATCTATGGGCAATAACTTTTGGACCTATGGGCAATTGCCCAATAGCCCTACCTCTGGCTACGCCACTGCATCATTTGCTTTTTTACAGATGAGAAATTTCGAATATTGAATATCTCAGGATAGGCAACTCTAGAAAAGTTACAACTTGCTAAATTCATTAATCTCATTAAGAACTTTGTTCATGTGAAATCAAAAATTGAAATTTGAAAATCAATTTTTCAAGTGGTCTGAAAGGAATCACAATTTTCTGTTGGAAAAATCCGATAAAATTTTCATATCTGAAGAACGAAGGGCAGAAAAAGCAAATCACTCTAGACTTTTCGACTATTTACTAGTATTCATCAAATGAATTTCGTCTTGATCGAAAATCGGTTTAATACTGAGAGACTCCTTCGTGAATATACTATGAATTGAATAAAACAATTTGCACAAGATATGATACTCATTCAAGATATTACAACAATCATTTTCTCATTAAATAAAAATATATAACATTTAAATATGAACAAAATTATCAGTCCAGTTATACCGAGATAAGTTCATAGAAACAATCAGAATTTATCATTACTACTTAAAGTGTACTCAATAACTTCTGTCCCGCAGTGATCATCACTCCCACTTAATTGCATGCTTAAGAAAATGAAACAACCACAAGAAATTCCAATAAAGCTAAATTAATTGAAAAACAACCTCCTACATAATATGCCACGGGCGTTACTTCTAATAGAAAACATTGCTCAATGAGATAATGCACGTGTGAATAATCATTATTGTTTTTTCGAATTGTCGTCTTTCAAAAGTTAATTTTTCTTTATGATAAATTAAAACCAATATCAAAGCTTGAATATTAATTTCGAACGTTTTGTTAAATGATTTCATCCATAAAATTTATGAAACAACATGTAGAACCAAAAATAGAAGGGAAGCACATTTCTTGAAAATAAACATATCGTTTTGTTTTTCTCAACTTACAGTAAAAAAAAAACCAAACATCTTTCAATTTTTCATGTAAATATCAAACAATATATGTTTATGAGAGAAAGTATGAATAAAAAACCAAAACTAGCATACATATTAATTAACAAATTTTCAAATAAAAAATTTTATTGGTACATCTAAAATTTTTCGAGCATAATTTATTATTCTTGCATAGAAAACGTAATTATATACTTCAGATTTATGAAATTAAAAAACTAATAAGACCACATGAATGATTGAAAACAATGAAATATTATATTTTTATATATGACAAACAAAAAATGTCATTAGTAATCTATCGAAATAGAAATTTAGTCTAGTGAAAAGAAAATCAGTTATATATCAAGCGAAAAGAAACATAGTTTTCCGTTTTTGTCAAAATGATTTGTCATATTTTTATTTACTTGATTATTAAAATATTTCTACTTAATTACCTTCAAACATATAGACAGAGTTAAACAAGATGTCTATATTTGCATTCGATTGAATTTAGTTAACTTAAAATTTTCTCTACGTCCTTTATCGACATTCAACAGGTAATATTTCATATGATCAAGTTATTTTTTTCTTCTTTACTATACAAAAGCATATTCATATATAACTGTTCAATAGTTTAATAATGAATAACAAACTATGAAATAAAAATCTTGTCATAGATATAATTAAAATCATTTATATATAAAATTATTTTTTCATACGTCAATGTAATTCAACTAATGGATGATGCTAATTTTCAATAATACAATTTAAATTTCAGTATATAACTATCAATTAAAAAAGCATGAAGTCATTTAGGAATATAGTTTCAATAACTTGAGCACAGCTTTAACTTAATTCTGTTAATTTACTTTTCATATAAAAATCAACATATAATAAGTATGCTTCACATCAATTGAAGTACTGAAGAATTATTTTTAGTTATTTTATATAAGAATTTAATAAGATTTACCTGCCTACTAATAGAGAGAGTAAACATAAGTTTGGTAAAAGTAAGTAAGAAAATATATTAGAGTTTAAAGTGTTTGATTTATCAATACCACGATCGTAGTTTTTTGTATGAATATATAAACATAAAATAATTTATATTGATTCGAGCTAAATATGACAATGAAAATATTATGTATTGTTATTCCTGGAAGAAATCATATGAATCGAGCAAATATTTCATTCGCTATAGTTGGGAAAAAGAATATATAAACGAAGTATATGTTTTGTTTTCTTAGTTTACAAAACAATTGAAAATAATATCTATCAATCATAGTTTTTTTTTTCCAACAAAACTATTCTAAGAATCTAAGTCACACTACTTTTTAATTATGAGTTTATAATCATTCTTTCATTTTCTTATAAGACGAAAATCCTGTTCAAGATGATTATTCTACAAGTCATGCATTTTTTATTGCATTGATACTTAGACATGTTTCTATTTTTTATCAAACTATATATAAATATATTTACGAAACTATAAGGACAAACGAGATACGTCTTATAATTTATTAAATAATATATATTAAAAAAATTAAAAAACTATACTTATTATCATGATTGTTAATGAAAACTTGATGCAGACAGCTTTTATATATTAGAGAGTTCTATAATCATTAGGTTTAAAGGCTTTTCTTTGTAAGTTCTCATGGTTAATGCTTTCGAAACGCAGCTGTTTGACATTTGCAAGGTTTCTTTTCTTGATAAGAAAGATGGTGCTCTTTTGACGTTCTAATGTGCACCCACACCCTGGCAATACAAAAACAACAACAGTAAGGATAACATATTAATATATATCATAAGATCAGTAACATAAGTAATAGGATGATGTACTGTATGCTCTTTGTTAGTCTAGTTTTAATAAAATTTAACGAATCATATATTATAAAAGCAACAAGCCCTATAAATCAAACTTGTCTTAATTTTGGTCATGCAAATAATTGTCATTTTTATAAATGTTTTGAAGAACGTTTTCCATGTGGATCATCATATTGGATATTAAAATGGGGTTATAAATATTGTACACGTATGCAAAAATCTTTATCAAATTTTGATAAAAATGGTCAAGAATTAATTGAACAAATATCAGCATGTTTAACAAATAAATTAATTAAATTACATTATTATACAATGAAACATATAAATTGTGAACAATTACGTGTAGCTGGACAACGAATGGTACATGAATGTTATATGAGTAGTTCAGCTTTATTTTGTAAGGCATTTCAAGGAAAAAATCGTGATTGTTTGATCGAATTAATTGATAACGAAGATCGACAGGATTTAACTATTGTACGTACATTAATAAGTGTTGGTCAAACATGTAGACCAAAAAAAAGACTTGCTGATATGAGACCCAGTGGTAAAACGAATCAATGTATATCTTCGCCTATGTTATAAACTTAAACTCATGTATTCATAACAACGGAAACTAATTGAACACGGCGTATATTTGGATATTTATTCGAGAGATATATTATATCGAGCATGTGTTTTTTTTTAAAAATTATTTATCAAATTTAATATTATAACTTTTGTTATAGCACAACTTTTCTTCGAAATACAATAAATAAATAAATATGAATGTGTCTATTTTCTCTATAAGACATTGCAGCATGTATGCATTTATGTATTCGAAAGAATAACTTTTAGATATTTCATTTCATCTTTAATAGCTTTGACAAAATATTCTAAGAGTATCTCTCATTTCTATACAATGAACTAATTATTACTATTTCATATTGGCTCTGTTTTTGTAAACGGAGACTATATAGACAAGTATGTGAGTTCTGTTTCTGGTGATGTTTATGTTCATATGAGCATAAAGAGAGAATAAAGAAGAAGCAACAGACGGACAGAATATAGAAGAGATCAAACAAGATAACAATAGGGTAACAGGCAAAATATAATAATTTTTTTTTTGTTTGCCTCAAAATTAAATAATTTTCTTTGTGTTTAGTTGTGTGTTTTCTCGGCAGAACAAAATAATATTCCTTTAGAGAGATATTAAAACAGAGAAAAAAAAAGGAAAAATAGAAGAAAAAAAAGATCTAGTTAAATAGTTGTAGATTAACTCTCGAGTATTTATCATTATTATATTGTTCTTTTTGGATGCATATATCAATTGTCGTTTATCTTTATTTTACATATCTAAATTTTTGTATTTTCTTTCATTAACTCATTTAGATCTTAAGATATACTGTGTGTTGTTTCAAATTTTTATTTGCTGCATGCTAATTTCGATTATCCGAAGCTTAAATTTTTTTTTTCGTTATAATCCTGTTTGTTTTATCATTTACTAATTATATTCAATGCGGGTAATCTTTTAAATAGAATAGGTTTTTTTTCTCCAAAAACAATTCTTTTTCCACATAGTAGAGTGCTTCTTTAACCTTCCTTTCTCTAAAGAAAAGACTTATATCATGCATGTAGTTAACTTTTTTCCTTTCATTACTGATATATTATATTACAAGTACTTCAAAAACCTTAAGAATATTTGATAGAATGTAAGCAATTGTATATCATTTAGACGCTAAAATCTCTTTACTTTTTATTCATTGTCGTAGATAGTAATAATAATAATAATAATTATTATTATTAATTATTACTCGAGTTGTATTTTCATTGCCTACACACTATTAATCTCATAGTTTTATATATTTGCTATGAATAGTAAATATAAATAAAAACATTAGTCCCATGTCAAAAAATTGGATTAAGAATCAAATTAAGAATCGATTATATTGGCACTATTATAATCTGATTTTAACCAGATTTTTCAGCTTTAAAAAACCAATTTTATTTGATTTTGATTTTTTTTAAATCTATTTTAATTGATTACCAACAACTACTATAATAATCGATTAAAATAGATTTTAAAAAAAAATCAAAATCAAATAAAATTTTTTTTTTAAAGCTGAAAAATCTGA